AATTGTTATTGGTTTATTGTATGTGGCTATTGTTCGGGACGAACAATACTAAGGAGGGGGCAGTGTTGCGTTAGCGAGGTCACGTGACTAGTGTCACGCCACGTTTCTAGAACTATCTTGTTCCTTCGTGAATGCCCTAGCATTTACTAGATATATGTTTGTCTTGTATATATATAAGACGCTCACAACGTGACAAGAATGTGTGTAGGTAGTGAGTAATTGATCTGCAGTCAGAGAGTATTGTTGAAGTTCGTTATAGCGTTTGTTTTAGCGCGAATGTTGAAATCAAGTGTATCGTAAAGTTATATTCAGAAAGAATAAACCAGTTTTATTAAGTAAGGACTTGTGTCGCTAAAGTTTCGTCGGAACGAAGTTATGGAAAGTTAATTAACAAACGGAGACGTAACAATGATATATTTCTTCTTAGTAAAACAAGATAAATCAACTATTCATATATTATGACCATTTATGCCAACTAACATGTAGCAGTATTTAAATAAAACAACAGACTACATTTTTTAATTGTGACTTTTGACTTAAGTAGTTATTTTACCAGCAAACTGTGACGTTATGACTAATGTAAGCCAAAATTTTACATGGGCTATTAATTTCTATTGTCATATTATTTCTAAGAAAATATCTTCACATTTACCAATTTTGATCAGAATATTAGCTTATAGTAAGTAGTTTTCAGAATTTACTAGCAATATTTCCATAGTAATGCAAAAAGTTGGTTTAGTTTTTGGACTTTTTACCCCAGAAGTGTGTAAGCAATAGCTTTGGAAGAGCATTATTGGCAATGATATTGTTACAAACTATATTTTAAAAGTTGTAACTTAAAAGCTAAAAAGAGGGAGCTGCAGGTCTTAATGATAATTTTAAGTTCGAGAAGCTAAGATAGACGTAGGGAGAACGCCAGGAATGTTCTAATTATATGATGTAAAGTTACGTTTTATGGATCTGACTTAAAGTTCTAGTAGGTTCAAACATATTTTATAAATACGACATTCCATGAAGTATCGTGAGGCTAGTTAGAAAATGAGTTGTTTCAAGTGTTTTAAGATTAAGAATATAGTTGCATAGCTATTGACTAATTGAGATAGATAATATTTCGATTCAAGACGGTGAACCAGTCAGTGTGTTAGCTATTGCAGTTACTTTGTACAAATAAGTTGATTTGTTTTATATTGATTAAAGACATTTGTAATGTAGGCCTATGGTGAATTTATGGCAGTACAAGTGTTAAGTTTGTAGAAATGTTAATCGAGGAAATAAAGTAATTTATTATTGTTATGTAGACTGGGTACTAAATTATTTTCACCATATTAATGTAAAAGAACATGCCAATGAAAGAACATTGCTGCGATGGTGTCAGAAGTAGGGTTATTTGTGGAAGGTAAAACAGAACTGTGACTAAACTTCAATTGTTGAAGATGGCAACCATAAAGTCAAGTAGCGTGATTCACATGTTACATGAAATGATTAAATTATTAAGGTGATTGAGAAGAAAAAGATAGAAAATTAAAAGAAGACCAGGATGAGTGATAAAAAAAAACAAGAAGAAAGATATTGAAATATATATATCACATGTCCTCCTCCTGCAGCCTATGTCTGTTCAGTAGAGTCAAGGTGACAGCAAACTTTACCAGTCCTTACTACCTGACTAATATGTACTCTTCCTGCAGCTGATGTAAGCTCCTTAGAGTCTGACATTAGAGTTGAGGCATACATGAGTATCCATATTGCATAACAATGTGCTTTCCTCTCACATTCGAAGTCTGTTTTATCGAGTTTGATGGTAGAGTTGAGGTGAGCACACAAGATAAAGTTTAAATGTGCCCAGGGGCAAAATTAGAGCCAAACCACTGGAATTTGTTGGCAATTTTGGGGGAAGTCTGGCAAAATCTAACCAATTACCAGCCACCTTATCCAGCAAAATTTTGACCAAGGACTTTTTATATTCAAATACATTTTCACAACAGTTTATAACTTAATTAACTTAAAACAATTTCCTACCTGTGCCACACGGTGGCATTTCTATCTAAAATATGTTTTATTCAAAGCAAATGGGCCTAAATGATATTGATTCAGCATCTCGCATGCTTCTGGAAATTATCCTGGCCTTTACCTTCCTGGCTAAGTTCAAATACATGATAAATCACCTAGGAATGGATCACTCTTAATATTAATTCTGAGAATAAAATACACAAATCATCAGCACAAAATATAATGGGTAATTAAATGCCAAAAAATAATTTGCCTACATTTCTTGTGATTAAATAAATATATATTCAGAGAATAAAATACGTCAACAATTGTAAATGATTGGTTATTTCTGTGACCTTCACCTTCATGGCTATGCCCACATACAATAAATTAGCTAGGAACGAATCACTCTTGACATGATTCAAGCAATATTTCGACAGAAAATAAAATGCATAAATTTATGTGCAAGCAGTCATGTTCTAATTCTGCCCATCATTATGATACAAATTTGTCTTCTATGCCTTTTTTTTTTTCCTGTGTGGGCAAAGAGTATACTGTGAATAAGACAAGATACAGTCTCCCACAGGGCTGCTCTTGCCATTGGATGTCACACTTCTTGGGCATCTTTGAGATGCTTTTTGAAGGGTACTCATCTTGTTAAATTTTGCACTGGTTCTTAAACCTGTGCGAGGAGATGAGTTATTGTCACAGAAGTTAACATTTTCTTTACCTGAAAATGTATTTCCAATAAGTAATCGTCTCTGCACATATTCCCACCTATCCAGTGTACATTTTCTTATCTTGTCAAGGAATAAAGATTCATGAGTGCAAATGCATAAGGGGAGTTAGTGTGCATAGAGGTGTGTTTTCCTCTTATTTGTGGAGGGCTTTTGTTGAATGATGATGGCATTGTGCAGTGGTGTAATTAGGTGGGAGTTTCCTCAAAGTTAGTGGTCTGCAACTCTCTCTAGCAGACACACTGAGGAAGATAGCTAATCTGTGTATGTTGGTGATTATCTATTGGAAGTACATTTTCAGGTAAGAAAAATATAAGCACTATCTTCAAATTTAGTCTGTACAACTGTAGTAATTTCAAACGTACGTGTAGTAAAGAGTATTTGTATTTCATTGAGTTTATTTTGTTTTTTCAAAATCTAACTTTTTAGACATCACACTGACTGTCTTCAATTTGTATTTTGTAAGGTATAGATGATCCCACTGATGAGGAAATTTTCAGTAGCTACAGCTTTTTTTGGAGTTCGTGGAATAGTGAATATGGCCTGGAATTCTCATGGAAGAAACAATGCAGAGATGGTTCAGAACTTGAAAAGTAAGTTTAGCAATGGAGGTGCTAATTTGGTGGGAGATTCTGAGAGTAACCTTAACTTTTATTAATTAAAAATTTTATACCTGAAATAAATTTAGCCAAAAACCGTCTAATGTAAAAAATACAAAATCTTCTTTATGTAGTTTCAAAAATACATATACAGAAGGAAATGTATAATTTATTTCACTCAGAGGAAATTTTATGCAGGAGATTAAAGAAATTGTATTTATGCCAATCAAAATAATGAGTGTTTGTTTATGAGCCTGTGTGGATTACAGGATGCAGAGTTAGCCATGTGTAAAACATGTAGGTTAAGATTTTTATGTCTGGTAGTACAGCATAGTTTTTATGACTTTTTTTTTTCTGCAGAAGTTTTCCTCACAAAATTTCATAGAAGAGTTCATTTGAAAGCACAAAGTTTAATTATGACAACTTTTACTTAGATTATTTATGCAAAAATTTAACACAAAAACTTTTAAAAGAGGATTGTTACTTATAGTTTATTTTAATGTAAAAAATTTATTGTTTTACAGAAAATGGGATAATTCACAGTGAAATAGTGGAAAGAATAATGTTGTCTGTAGATAGAGCCCATTACTGCAAAAATAATCCCTATGTGGATTCTCCTCAAGGAATAGGGTATGCTGTCACTATAAGTGCCCCTCATATGGTAAGTTTGTTTTCTATACATATGTGTTTTGTTTTTCAGGTGGACAACAACTGATCTAGTTTGCAGATTCACATGTATATCATTTCAGAAGAACAGTATTCATGAAAATGTAGTGATTAAGTTATCATATACTTGATAAAAATTTTCACACAGTAATGTTTCGATATTCCTGCCAAAACACTACAGACCAATAAGTAAATAAAAGTAAATCAATTTTATGTATTTTAGCCTGTTGTGTATATGTTTGTGAATTGTACATACATTTTCAGTTATTTGTATTGTTTTAAGTCTTATTTTAGTGTCTTGAAAAACAGTTTCAATTAAAAAAAAACATTTATTTATAAAGTAGAAGAAAAGTTAATCAGTTAATTTGTGATTACTGACTTGGCTCAGTTCCTACAAATTCAAAGTTTGTAGTGATCAATTTGGAACGTAATTAGAAAAAAAAACCCTGATCATATGTAGCCACATATGGTTATGTGATACCCTGAGAAAGTCCTAACTGTTCAAATTGCATGAAAGAAACACATTTGAACACTCAAGTAACAGACAAGTTACTTTGCTTTCTATAACTCTTTGTTGAGGGACTGGATTAGACTTTATTTTTAAACCTTAACATTTCTACAAAGTTAAACTTAAAAGTTTTGTAACTTGCACAGTGAGCTGGATAACAAACTGATCAAACTACTTTTTCTTGCTTTGCCTTAGCTGGATCATGTGGTTGTCATAACTTGAAATTACAATCTCTGTATAAATTTTGTCATAACAACCAATTAACTAGTTCAATCAGGTAGCTCGAACACCATAACCAGTCAGTAATTTCCTACAACAGAGAATAACGATAGCTCACTGGGCTATCTGGATTGTACCCAACAACTGTTTGTGTTGGAAAACAGATCAGTAGAATTAAATATTCAGCACTATAGAAATCAAACACTGTATTTTAAATATTGAACTAGATGTTTGTTTTTTTAATAGAAATATCTATAAAACTGTAAATTTCTGAATAAATAACATGTAAACAAATTTTATCCTTCACTTATGCCTTTTATCATTGTGGTGAATGCAAACATCTATGCAGGGCAAGGTGGAACATTTTAACAGTTTTTAGTCTTATGTTTTTAAAAACTGTTTACCTTTCTGTACCAGTAAGAGCTATTAACTTGTGTGAAATTCTGTGAACTACAAATATAGGAAAAAATTATATAAATCCAATACTTCAGTGTTTCATCAGTTACCTGTCATTTTAAAGCTAACTTGGAAAAATGTCTGCTATTTTTACCTATTTATGAATATTATTTTGTGTGGAAATTACAGTTACAAGTTACATTTGCACATTTTTTATGATGCTAAACGGTTTGTTGTTAGATCAAAAACTTTAAAAAATATTTTAGTTGAACAGTTTTGTTTACTTAAATGCTCATAACAAATGCAATAACTATTGACTATGTGTCTAGCAGGAAAGCTATGTTCAAGGGGATCTGTACATATTAACCTTAAGTGTCTTAAATGATTTGATTTATGCAAATTTGATCTTAGAATGCTACTGTTAGATGGAGTAAAACTAACTTTGAACCATACTGTAGACTTTACATGCATGTAAATCTGTATATAGACTTAACATTATTTAAATATTATATTTTGTAGAAGGAGGTTGTAAATGATTTAACAACTGTTCAATTGTTTGTACACAGCATGCTTATGGCTTGGAGCTACTGAAGGACCACCTATATGAAGGTGCCAGAGCGTTAGATGTAGGTTCAGGAAGTGGCTACCTCACTGCTTGCATGGCACTGATGGTATGTTCTTTGGAAATTTGAGGTAAAAATGCAAGTGTACTGTACTCTTACTTCTTCCATATTTAAATTCTAAAGTTATTACAAAATTAACTTGTGTAAAACGTTAGAATATTTTAGGATGTCATATATCTTTATAACCATAGGGTGATTTAGAAACTCTTGAAATTTAGATATACAAGATGTTTTCTCTACATATATATGTATAACATATTTTTCATACCTTGTTTAATAGAATGTATTTTAGAAAATAAGTTATCTTTTATAAAATCTTCATTTAAATACCAAACGTTTGGGGTTACAACTCTGATTTTGGTATAAGCGTATTTCACCAAATATTTTACAATGTGATGTAAGAGTATTTTTTAGTACTCATACACACATCACTACCAAAATGTCTGGGAACTTTTTTTTTCATTCAAAAAAAGCTGATTATAAATAGTTTTTTTTTATCCTATACATATATAAAAGTTGACATCGGAAACCTTATTCTAGCATTTAGTTTATAAAAGTGTTTTTTATACTAAACTTTATTCCAGCCACTTACTGGGTTATCAAGAATTTAAATATGTTCATATTTGGTTTAAAGTTACCTGTGTTACGACCCATTTCGTATATTTAATTTTTATAAGTTGTTTTTATTCTAATGTTAAAAATGTTCTGTAGGTATTGAACTAAATACTGCATTTTAAAAGGAAGGAGTAGATTTTCTAGTTCATCTGCATTCATAGGACTGTATCTTTTAAACATTTTCCAGGTTTACCCACCCTAGGTAATTAGAAGAGAAAAAATGTTCATGTACTAAGCCAATGTGTCTGATCACCTGCTGGAGAACTTCTGCAATAAATAGTTTGATTTTGAAATGTAATTTTTTATAGCATTGGTTTCTAATATATAGATAGAGTGCAAGTACGTTTTATATTTAGTTTGTGAGCAGCTCCTGCTGAGCTTCACCTATAATGAATGTGGTTTTGATACACAATTTATTTCTAAGTATTGGATCTAGTGTTATAGTTAGTGGGTAAAAACTAAGATGTCTGAGCAGTTAATGTGGCTTTCACGCATTTTAAACATGGGTTTGTAATATACAAGTTAATGAGTGCAAGACTCATTTGCTGGAGTGCTTCAGCTGTTATTAATATAGTTTTAAGCCATGATTTTGTAAAAGATTGACTTTAAGATATGTTGGTTAATATGTATGATAGTTTTGTATCAAATTAAAGGGTAAGTTCAGAATCATAGAGTTTAAGAGGTGTTGAATAAACTCTGAATATCAAAAAAAAGCATCATCTGAACATTTTGTAATTCCTTCATCCAAGGATCAAATTCTCACCATAAGTCAGTACCTTATTCTTTTGTCAGTTTATTTTGAATAGTATATAAAGAAGTGCCGTTAACTAGTTAAAAACTTGATACTTTATATGCCGTGAGACAATGTCCTGGCAAAGGTTGAGTACTTGTAGTTTTAAAGGAGAATTTCACCATTGGTTCCATTGTTCTTCGAGTTGAGAATACCTTCATTACTTTAGTGGTAACTATGAACAAGCAAATAAAGTAGAAAATAAAAAATATATTGTTTACTGTATTACTTGTAATTCACATCTTTTTGAAGTTCATCAAAATGACACAAACTGCTTTCTCTAACATGTTTAAAATTGCCATGTTGAAAGAAAAGTGAGTGACAGACACATGCAACTATAGCATGATAAAAAGAAATGCCTTTTTGTAAGGCTTATGTGATCCATGTTTAGGCCAAGTGACTGAAAGAAGAAAGGCATAAGTTAAGCATTCAGACACATGCACCGAGATATTGTGGCAACTAAAAGTTGCTTTGTTGTAGCTGCTATGGCTGAACCTGCTTTAAGTATTTTAGTAACTACCTGAGAGCTTCACCCCTACATGTATGTATTCATGACTAAGTGATAAACATTTCATCAGGGGTGTCTTATTATTTGCAATTTCTCAAAATTATGTAACTTTGTTTTTTCACCTGCAATGAAAAGTATGGGGAACTTGTGGGTTTATCTGTACATTTGTACATGACACACTACTGGTGGAAAGTTCATAATTCACTTAGACTTGTTCTTTTAACACGACTGTAGATCTATGGTTCTGTTTAAATTAAAACTTTAATATGAAGTGTAAAAACTAATACCTTATTGTAACATAATCTACATTGCTATAAACCCAATAATTATTTAGTACTATCTATCAAATATGTCCAAGTGGGTTTTACTCTTTATTTTGTGAAATATTGTTAATATAAAAGACCACGAAAACTTAACTCAATGTGTCTTGAAAATTCTAGAAAAGCCATTAACTTTAGGATTACTGATGGTGATCCATATGGATTTCATTGTTTTTTTTTAACACATTCCGCTAAACTATATATACACCTAATTGTATATTAATACCTTATAACTTACAAGTCACACAGAATAATTTAAACAAAAATATATTTCCATATAGGTTAACATTTACAAACTAATAATAATAAATCCTTGCTTGTATTTTCAGGTAAAGATATTTATTAAAAACACGTACAAAACATTAACAAATGTACAATCTTGAACTTAGGTTGGTGAGACAGGATTGGCTGTAGGTATTGATCACATAAAAGACCTGGTGACTATGTCAGAAGAAAACATCAAGAAAGATAAACCACATTTGTTAGAATCTGGAAGAATCAAAATGATTGGTAAGTAAAAGTTATCTTGTTGGTATAATCTTCCTAAGTTGTGTGTTTTTCATTTATATGGTTCAACAGTTTTGAATGACCTTTTTAAATTTTTAGTATTAATGTCTTGTGTAGGTTAACTTAAACTAAGTATGATAAAATTAGTGTTTTTATCAGGATTCAGAGTTGACTGTTCAAAGCCAGCATTCATATTGCCTGTTGACAGGAAATTTTTGTTACTTATTTTTATAGATTAATTAGAAAGCCTGATTAATTATAATAGTTTTATAATATTCTACTTATTGTGCATGATAATGTTTGTGTGTTAAACTGCAAATTTGAAATAAAATTTGATAATATTTTGGACCTTCAAGACTGTTACAAAAAAGTAAGTCCACAGTAGTGCTTTTTCTTCCATCAATGGCAAGAGAACTATGTTCAGAAGTAAGTAATGAATTTATTTATTTTTTATGTACTTTTATGTGTTGTTATAAAAGTAACTAACCTATAAAAATTAGAAAATCATTAGGTTAGATACTAAAACTTAAATGAAAAAATTAAATATAAACAATTTAATGTGATACCATCCTAGCCTGTACACACTGCATGAAGTGATTGTAGTTAGATCATGAGGTCTTTCAACCTAATTGTTTGTTTACACAAAGCTCTCCAGCTATTGTAAATGGCTTTCAGTTTGTACTCTGAGAGGGTCTAAGTACAATTTTAAAGCAATAAAACTAATGAACCCAAATTTTTAAAAGACTTAGCTTTTTAGCTGTAAAAATAAATAGCGTTTGGCTGTTACAATATGCAGTTATTTTAGAAAGAAAAAAGGTTTGTTTTGTTATTTTGTATTTTTCAGCTTTTCAAGTTTCCTCACATTTCTGATTTTCTGAAGTTATTGTTAGGGTAGAGGAAAGAACTGATAAAATATAAAGTTTTAATAAAAAACTTTTAGAATTCATTTAGGAGATTCTAGTGGTTATGCAAATGAAGTATGAAAACTGTAAGATAAAAAGAAATATTTTTATTTTTTGCATGAAATTTACCTTGTACTCGAACAAATCCGAGTCACATTGACTGTTAATTCACAATCAAGTTTTCAGTAAAAGTACTTTATTAAATATTCAATTTTTTGTGTACAACAAACTTGTAATGTTTACTAAAAGCCTGTCATATTTACATTCAAATTTATAGTAGGTATAGTTTCATGGTTACAAGCTGGGTCAAAATCACAAAGTATGCACTCAGAGATAATTAGTTCATGCACATTTAGACTTTATTATTGTTTGTCTCTCCTAGTTTGGCTGGAAGTGTGTTGTTGATAAATCCTGTGGTTGCATACAGTAATAATTATGACACAACTGTACAAGGTATTCAATTGAGTCTTGAATGTTCAATCTTGTTGTATTTATTTTATCACTATTTTTAGTATAAACCACAGAAGCAAGTATTTTTGCTTACGCCAAAATGAATTTTATTGCAAATGGTGAAATGGCACATGTTTAATCTAAACTGTAAATTTTCTTCAGTAATAGCATATGTTTGTTAGAAACCTGTGTTATGAGTAATAGACTTCATCGGGTATGGGCATATTCTACCTTGATTAATTTTTATAAAGTAGAGCATGAGCTACTAATAATAGGTTTCATAAAGTGGAACCTGTGTTATCAGTAGTAGATTTAATGAAGTGAAGATATGTGCTAACAGAAATAGTATTACTTATTACTAACACTGTGTAAGGCATCAGTCCATTGAACCAACACTGTATTGGATAATTAATCAGAAATTTAATAAAATATTTTTACTAAAGATTTGTCTGAGTATTTTTGGAGCCTTTACTGAGTCAATCTGATTGAAAGGTGATTTTCATGCTAACAATAAAAAGTACTTCTTTTCATCTTATAGTTTCCAAGTTTAATTTGCATAACCTACAGAATCTCCTAAATCAGTATCAAAAGTTTTTTTCAGTAAAACTATTTTGTTCACATCTAATTTCTTTAGAGCTGTACTTAGACCACCTCAGGAAAAGCCAAAGCCATTTATTATAGTGCAGTAGTTTTGGGGGGAAAAAAATTATCCTACTTATGCTATGAATGTATGGTGTACCTCAATGTATGAAATCTTTATAATGCCAAGATAGTTATCAAATGTTTCTTAAGGAAAAACTTTATATTTTATCTGTTATTTTCAGTAATTAGTTTCTGTACGGGTTTGGTAGATTTGACCGATCTCACAACCACCATAAAAAATTAGGAAATAGATATAAATTATGCCTATTCATAACATGAAAACATAAATATTTAGACTAAATAGCTT